AATGACCTTGGCTCTTGTAATCCATCTTTGCCTGGTGTGGTCAGACATACCTGCCTTGGCACAGTATGTGAGCCAGAGCCACCTATTCCGAACAGCTCATTTTCCTATTGCTTATAGTATCTACATGTACACTCTTAAATTTCTTTATAAAAATCTATTACAGTGCAATAAGTAACTTTGCAATCAGCTGGTAATATTACCATAAGAGTGGCTACATCTTAAGTACACACCTTACTGCTCTGCCCCTGAGCCTTACCCTTGGGTAATCTAATGCACATTCAGCAAACCTCATTAATTCACATTCTTCTCCCCTCCAGGCCTATTCACATGTTTCCAGACTACAGTCCCACCCCCTCACAGACACCTGGCAGCAGAGCTCCTCCTCTCCTCACTGCCCTTCTCTCAGTGGTCTTTTCTGACGCTCACTTGATCCTCACAAAAACTCATCACCACCCACCCGACACTTTCACTCTTCCCAACACACTCGTTTACACCCTCCTATTTTGGGCCACCCTGGTGCAGTGCTCACTGCCAACACTGCGGAGGGAGGAAGGAACATCCTGTCTGCAGGCAGATAATCTGCTGCCTCCTCCCTCCAAGGGAGTTGGCCAGCATCCCAGGGCACCTGGCACCTTTCCTGCCCTCTCCACAGTAGCATCTGTGTCACACCTGCACCTTTGAAGTAAAATAAATGACAAGTAGCTGCTGTCATAGTGATAAATGTGTACATGCAAGTGAATGCATTCGTTTACCTCCCCACTTTGAGCTTCCCCTAAACTTTCTCTTCCTCTGTCAGAGACACCATGAAAACCCACCATCCTCAGGGATGCAGCGGAGGACAAGTGGACACCTGGCCACCTTCCTGTTTGTTTCTTACCCGTTGATCGTTTCTTGGGGGACTTGAGGCTCCTCATCCGTCCTGGTGATGACATCCCGCTTTCACTCATGGAGTCATGTGCTGAGGAGGCACTGCCAGTGGCCTCACTGTCCCGAATCATGCTCTCGTAGCCACTGCTGCCCCCACTGTGGTAAAACAGAGCTGTCCTCCCCATGGCTGGTGGCAGCTCCCCGCTTAGGACGCTGCTGTTGTCACTGCCATGCCCGCTGCTGTACCGCTGAGGCCGCCGGGGTGCCGTTATCTTGCTGTATGGAGATGGCAGCACTGGGATTTGGGACTTCTCATCACTGAGGTTAATGCCGCTGTCATTGCCACTGTCAGAGTCGGTGGAGCCTCGGAAGTGGCCCACCTTGGCAGAGCCACCTGACACTAGCTCATTCACGCGGCTGTTGGCTGCCCTCATGGCCTGCTTGGTCCCCATGATGGTCCCTCGGCCAGGTTTGCTGCTGACGGGCTGCACAGAGCGGGGGGCTGCCTTCCCACTGGGGGCCATGCCAGAGCCTTTCCCTGCAGGCTGCGCCAGGGACTTCACAGAGGAACTGAGAGACTTTGAGCCACTGGCAGAAAGGCCTCGGTTTTTATTCCCGCTTGCTTGTACCTTCTGATTAGCTGTGGGTTTTCCCTGGCTGTTTTTGCCAGACACAGGGGCAGTGAAGGGTGGTGGTAAACCTACACCAGAGGCAACAGGGGGGACCCCCAGTCTGGGGACAGAGCGCCCTGCCCGGCTGTTGCTGGTGCTCCCATTCTCCCTCACAACACTTGCTTTGGATCCGACTGATGTCAGGCTGTCGCATCTCTCCAGGGACATGTGGCTCCCGTAACGGTGCACAGATTCATTCTTTGATCCCTTTGCCTTTAAGCTGGATGTCATCTTGGGCAAAGAGTGGTCGCCCTTCAGGTTCATTTTGCTGCTGGCACTTTCGCTGAAGTAAGACCCAGCTTTCAACCTCAAATCTACTTCATCTTCAGCCTTCAGCATGGCAGCTCTGGCAAAGTCAAGGCTGGAGGCTTTTCCCCCACCATTACCTAGACCAACAGGTTTCTGCTCCAGGCTTGATTTGCGTACAGGAGGTGTTGGAGGTGTTGGCCCACCTGGCCTGGGCAACATGGTTGACTTCTGTGGTGCACTCTTCTTTCCCAGTGATGATTTCAAGCTGCCAGTAGTCAAGGGAATATCCGAATTCCCCCGGGCCGCAGCCTCCAACAAAGTACTGTTAGCATGCGACACTGGCATCACTCCCAGTGTGGTGGCTCCTCTCTTCAGCAGTGGCATCTTCATCACAACTTCTGACTTCTTTGCAGCTCCACTGGAGGTTTTGCAGACCATTTCACAACCATCCACAACCCTCTGCGAACAAGCAAGCATAGTCTGTGACTTTGTTGGCCTGGATGCTGCATCAAAATACTGGGCAGCTTTTCCTGGCTGCTTCTCAGTAGCAAATGCATGAGATTTTGGAGACAGCAGTGAGTCTGCAGGTTTTGCTTCCAACTGATAATCAGTGCGCAACAGCCAAGGATCTTCAAATACACCATGTGGATTCTGCAGCTCTTTATAGCTGAGGACAGTATTATTGTGGATTGGAGACGAGGTAGTTTTTGTTTTCCTAGGAAGACTAGAATGTATTGTTTCTATCACAGGCATATCGCGAGAATTACTAAATTTTATTTTTATGGGCTGATCAGTGACACAAAAAGCACTTCTTATCTCAGACACTTTGGTAGTTTCAGACGTTTGAGGGCTTTTGATAATGCCTGAGGACAGCTTGCTGGAACTCAAGCTCTCACTGTCCAGTTCAGAGAAGCAAAATCCACTGTCGTTCAGAGCACTTTTCAGGGGGACAGATAAATGAGATGAATCCAAGCTGAAGGGTTCCTCGGACTTATTACCACTGTAAGATGACTGTGCAACAAAACTGTCACTAGACTGTGCTCCATCACTTTCAATTGTACAGATGCTGACTTCACTAAGCCATGAACTGATGGAGGAACGTCTACTGCTGGTAAAAGGATCCTTAGCAAAGGGCACAACAATATCAATATTTACACCAGTAGAAGTCTCCTGTGAGGTATAAGCATCAAACTCATCATTTATGCTACTGATTATACTGACCGGCCTTGAACCCGATGCAAGGGCCTGAAGGGAGCAGTCACTGTTAAAGCTAATGATACTGGATGGTCTTCCATTATCCATAATCCCACTAATGGACAGTTCTTCCACCACAGTGAAAACAAGCTCATCTTCTCCATTCAGCTCAACAGGCTGCTGCAAAGTCACTGTGGTGGTTAGTATATCCCGGTCAAAACACTTCCCTCTGAACGCTGACCTGAAGCTGTGTACCTCTATTGCACCTGACTGATTCTGGGCATTGCTGCCAACTAAGAATGTGCTTCCTACAGGGTTTTGCTCAGGTTTGCTTCCCATCTGCTTGCTCATTCCCACAGGAGGAGTTCGAACTGCATTGCTATTGTCCAGCTCCAAATTCTCAGCTTTGGAGCTCACTATGTCCTCTTTCTGCTGTGGAGGTGGAGGTGCTGGGCTTGGCAAGGGTCTCTTCATGTACAAGGACTTTTCCTTAATTACACATTCAGCTGTGGCTTTATTCTGCTCTGTATTCCTTGAAGGGCTACACCTTGAAGACTGCAGGGAATCGGTGATTGTCTCTCTCTCCACTTCCGATATTGAGTCTATTATTTTGTGGTCGGCTCTGCTCTGTGGCTTGGAAAGCTCTGTTTTCAAGTGAGGTGCGCTCTTTTCATGACAATTGCCATTGTCACCCCTTGCTGCAACTGCCTGGTAAGGAAGGTTATGTCCTTTTTTGGGAGATGCAGTTTCTTGTGGAATTGGTCTCTTAAATCCGCCAGAAGGAGAAGATACTTTTTCCTTTATCAGCTTAGACTGTGTATTTTCTGTACTTCCAGGGACTGGACTGCAATTGGATACAACAGAGATTTCTCCACAAGCGAATTTGATGGGTTCCTCACTTCCATCAATGCACTCTAACCTTTCTTGCAGTTCAGCAAAAGTGTTGCATTTAAAATGGTCCTTATCAGAACTCCTACCAATAGCAGAATTGTCTTTACTTCTCTTCTTGTTTAGGGATGGGATTATGGGAACAAACTCTGGAGGACCTTCATTATCTGTCAATTCCCTGTCAGACAACGCTGCACCATTGGGACCAACATAGATGACAGTATCACAAGACTGTTCACTGCTGGAGGAATAATCCGGATCACTAGATATACTCAGGACAGGAAGGTCAGGGTCGAGGGCAACAGTTCGTGGGTGGAAGGGTCGCAAATGGGGAGGTCTGCGAACATGTCCTTCTTCACATGAACTCTCTCCTCCGGATGAGCTGGATGCATACTGTACATGATCAATAAGGGAGATGTTATTGATATATAGAGGTATATAAATATGTACATGTAATTGATTAAAAGGCCAGGTTTGCTACATACTCTGTGCTTTTTGTATACTATCACAATTACATCTAGTGGAAAATGTTGAGTCTGAATTAAATTAACAAGGTCATGCTACATAGATTTTACTATATTAGGAGTAATATAATTATCACACCTTTTCAGATATTTTCCATTAAATATTATGCATTGTCTTTCTCCTCAACAGTTTTCTATTCCTTCCTTATAGTTTTTTAATTAATATAAATAGGAACTTTTGAGATAGTTCCACATACAAGCAAAGAAAGAATATGTGTTTAGAACAAAAAGAAGGGAATTTCAGGATTAAGGATTGGGGGTGGGATGATGGCTCAGTGCCAAGTCATTTGTCAGTTTGTCTCCTGAGCTTTTATGCATTTTGTATTACTTCTTACTGCTGAGAAATCCCATGTTCCCCCACCGAGAGGTTAGGAAAACTCATTTTCAAATGAATTAATTTTTGCATGTTTGTGAACCAACCTTGGATTTCTTCTTTCTCATTCGGTGGATCCGCGATGCAAGCTGAATGGTGGTGAGAGTTTCTGCATAATTGACTGGGGAGTCAGAAATATGTGCAATCATAGTAGTCCTGCAATTGATGTTCCCAAGTGATTCCCTCAACAACATTGTCAACTTGTTGTCCCTGTGTAACAAATGAGAACACGAGGATGGTTTAAAGAAATCACAATCTTTTTTTTTTTGCAGATTTTTACACCACAAGCTGTGCTTTCATTTTCATAGGATATATGCATGTATGGTATGTGCAGATAAGAAATATGCTCCTATTATTTGACTGCACTTAAAATGTACAAAGATACCAATATTTTAATTACCTATCTGTGTATGTATTTGCAGTATAATAAGTAATTTTACATTTTACTTGGACAACTGTAAAACAATTGATTAATAGCTAGCTTAGTTATCTCATGTTTAGCTCACGTTACCTAAAAAGCTCATGAGCTTTTTAGCTGAGCAGACTTAATACCTGGATAGGTAAGATCTGTAAGCTCCATGCAAACAGTTTTGGTAAGTACTAAAAAGTAAGTCAACAGAAATGGTAAGAAATCTCTAAACAAATATAATAATGTTAGATATCAGAAACATATTATCAGTGGCACCCATCCAGTTTCCATTCTGCCTGCGGCTGTCTGCTCTGACATAGCAAATGGGAAGCAGTATTTCTCTCTGAAGGCTTTCCTGGTGATGAAAGTCCTCCACCATGGACAGCAAAGCTGACAAGATAAGTGATATTTTGTCCTCCACTGGTCTCCAACACATCTCTCCCCAGTGCTCTCACTCAGGAGGCTGCTTCTTATCACCCCCCTGAGCTGGCCCAAGATGTAGGAACTACCATCACGTCTACTTGCTAAAGCATGGCAGGTGACAAAGTTGATCATCTGCCCTTCCCTATTCTAACCCATCCATCCTCTATCCACAAACCTAGCAACTAGCCTGAGGAAAATACTCTTCCTCCAAATACAGAAGGAACAAACACCTGTTTGAGATGCAACACTAGATACATACGTGAAATGACATGATTGATAACAACAGCACAAAGGTATAATGCATGAAGATTAATTGCAAGCAGCAATTAAATTTAAGGACTGAGGGCCAAGTTCTGGTAAGGGTCTTTACAATGTGGGTGTTGTCTTTAAGCTGGGCTCCCCACAGGTGTGTTTGACACAATATTATTGTCAAGAACACTCCACAAAGGAACACACCTAAATGTTTGCTTCTGATGAACAAATGTGCAACATGGTGGTCTTTTTTTTAATTGAAAGGTTGTATCATTCAAAAAGGCATACAGAAAAAACAACCTTTGATGACAATAGTTGATAAACTTTCTAGTATTTTCTGAAATTTCAATACAATTTTAAATTTGGAAAAAGGAGAGAAAATCCTACGAAATTCTGATAAAATTGTTCACTAATGTCCAGCTGGCTGAGATCAGTCTAAATTCCAAACCCAGGAAACAAAAAAGAGGTAGAAGGAAAGAAAACATTTTGGCCATTTTCCCCTGTTTTTTTCAACAATCAAACCCTCCCAAAACTTGAGCGAACTTCAGCATATACCAACATGCATATAATTTTTGGCCATGTAATTAAGAATTTCAAATTGTTACATAACATATAAAAAATTGTGTGTATGTATATATATATATAGACAGGTAGATGAATAGAAACATGTATCTGTAATAGAGAAGTGACCTTGTAGCAGCCTTCCGGTATGTAAAGGGGGCCTACAAGAAAGCTGGAGAGGGACTTTCTACAAGGGCATGTAGGGATAGTACAAGGTGGAATGGCTTTAAGCTGACAGATGGGAGATTCAGATTAGATATCAGGAAGAAATTTTTCACTATGAGGGTGGTGAGACACTGGAACTGCCCAGAGAAGTTGTGGATGCCTCATCCCTGGAAGTGTTCAAGGCCAGGTTGGACGGGATTTGAGCAACCTGGTCTAGTGGAAGGTGTCATTGCCCATGGCACAGGGGTTGGAACTAGATGATCTTTAAGGTCACTTCTAACCCAAAACATTCTATGATTCTGTGACCTTAAAAGACAACAGACCCTTCTCCAACAGAACTTGCTTTAACTTCATCTTAGTTAAAGACTAAATTGTTAATGCAGTTCATTGTAACAATAGCCACAAATTTAAGATAATGCAGATAATAATTCACTTACTTATACGGTACATGCTTAGCACCATTAATTAAGGCCAAAATTACACTGCCCAGGGCAGAAAGAGACAGACACAGAGAGCCTCCTCCATCTCGGCTCTTGCTCAGCACTTTTTCACAGCTCCCTAGATCAATGAGATGCAAACGGCTGCGTCCTCCAGACACTAAAAAAAAAAAAAAAAAAAAAAAACAAAAAAAACCAGTGTGGGGGGGTGGGAAACAGTTCTATGGCACGTTCCTTGCATGGACTCAAGCCAAACTTGGTATTCAAAATGTATTCAAATGAGGAAAATAATGAATACAGCATGGGCTAATGACCAAATTAAATATTAATAGAAAGGAAAACAGATTTTAGCCACAGCTACCAAAGTTAAAGGTGACTTGACTGGTTTGAGGATTCACTTCATTTTTTCTTTTTAAGTTTATTGCAAATTATTGTTTAAACTAACCCATTTCAAAACAAACAATATGGTAAGAAGATTCATACTTCCTCCTTTGCCACTCTTCTCCATGCGATACTGGTATATGTGAAGAGTAAAGAGCATATGTGAATTCCTTCTCTCTTCTTCCTCACATTCAGGTTTGCTGGTACTTCTGGCAGCAATTGCAGCATCAAGGAAAAAGGCAGCTTTCTCTGCTGTTGGGGCCCTTAGCTCACTTTGGTTTTGAAGCTTCAATATAAACAAGAAAATGACTAGTTAGCACAGGGGCATCTTTTTTTATTATTTTTTCCTGAACTGGCTAAATCTCTAGGGCACTAAAGGAAACAAATATGTACACCATGGGAGAAGGGCTTAAAAATTAAAAGCAATAACTTTTTTTTTTACTGTCTTAAAGTTGTCATAATTGTTGTCAGCTAAAAGGAAATATAAAGCAGAAGAAAGCCGAGCTCAGAAAAATCTATGTTGTGATATTCATTATACCTGAGTTCCACATATTGGATCTTCTCTCAGATAAACCCCAGGAGACTGGCCATCCTGAAGGCTGCCAGTGGCTACTTCAGCTAACAAATCCTTCAGGTTTTCATCTTTGCCACTGATCTCCACAGCAGATACTCTAATAGAGAAACGAGTCCCAGTTTTTTCTTTACGTTCATTGATTAATTTGAAAAGCCAAGAAATTGCACAGGGGATGATACCAAGGCTTTGCGTGGAGTTATCTTTACCAATCATGGTAAAAGATTTTCCTAGAATGAAAAGACAAACATGAACTTAATTCACCTTTCTTGTACAAGACAGTATCTCTTCATATCACCACTGTACACTACATGCAATGTCATGTGTTGCACAAATAATGGGAAAGAACAGACACAAAAATGCAGAATATTTAATTATTAATCTATTGCTATTTATTCAATTAGTTTTGCAATTTTTGTAACTCAGACCCACAACAAATTAATGGTAAAAACATTTCTGATCTTTTGATTTTCATCACAATGCACCTATATAAACTTGCTCTTGATTAAGCTAATCTGATGTTACATTTTACCTTTTCAAATTAAAACTTACAATCACAGTATAGAAATAAACCATGATAAGTTTGCAAAACTAATTAAAGAGAAATTCTAATCTATTCATATACTCCAGGTTTATTGTTCCAGGAGCTGACAGCATGTAATTATCAGACTGACATAGTAATTAACTGTAACGAATTTGGGAGCTCACCAAGCTTGACATGACCAAAGCAAAATATGCAACCATCTGCACCATTCACAACAGACTGGATTACTTCTGCTACTGTTCCAGAGCATACCTCAGCCTGAAAGAAAGATTGGAGACAAATAGGTAAATGAGCATATACTGCTATGGTTTTTACTATTCTTTTGTAATGAAATTAATGACTCAATATTTTTGAGATGCAATATTCTTCCAATTTTAATGGCATCAGTTCTATTATTTTAGTAACTATGCTACCTTAAAAAATAATAAAATATGCTACCACAGCCTACAATAGTTTTCAATTCTATTAAACCAATTCTCTTGGAATATTGATTCTATGACTAATGTAGCAAACTGAATGCTATCCAACCAGGCTTCCTGCTGGTGTAATAGCTTACCCAAGGCTATTCGGCAATGGTAGCAACTCCACTGAAATTAAGCTACTCAAGAGTGCTCACAGGAATTAAAAAGACATACATACTGGAGAAAATGCATTAAGATCCCTGAATAAGATTTCATAGTATCACATTTTCCTCTTCCAGCGGAAACATCATCATCAACAAAGAGAACTTGCTAAAATATTTGAGTGTACTAAAACCAGTTTATCCACATCAAGGAAGGTTTCACATGTACAGTAAGATGATCTATTAAGTACAACAACTGGGGAAGAGGAAAGGGTTGGTGTACTACCTATATAACTACAGTGAAATGATAAGGCTCTGTTTACAGCTACTTGGCAGTAAGCTTGCCACAAGCAATGACACCTGCACAAAAGTGGCTGCACTGGCCAAGGTCACCCGGAAACACCACAAACAGGCCACCCAACAAGCCCACCACAAAGACCTGAAAGAGCCTAGCCCAAACCAGGGGTCAACAATGTTAAGGACTGGTGCCAAAACCAGCAGAGAAGCAGGCTGTGACCAGCCACTTTGCAGCAGGGCTGGCAACATAAGTAATAGAAAGCCACTTCCAGTTCTGGACTAATGTTGAGATCACTGATGCATATTTCTGCACAAAGACACCATTTGAGCTTATGCAAGATATTAAAAACAGCCTCCTGATGTGGCTACCATTGCTTTAGGCACTGATATATGTGGGAGGTAAGCTCAGACCTAATAGATATTTTCATATCTCTAGTTTGGGACCCAAAAAATAAACCAAAATCCTAGGAAAATATCTGAGAGTGGGATTCTGAACTAGGTCTTGTCATGTTTTCTCAACATTAACATATCATTTTCACCTTGGATTTCTGTGGTGTATTCTTCACCCTATTTTTTTCCAGCAGTTCAAACTTGGAGTAGTTCCTCATACACTCCTGAATTTGTTGTTCTTTCTAAAGCTGTTCTAGGAATTTTTTTTCTGAACTGAAGATTTTTCCCAGAAGGAAATTTCAGGTGTCCATGAGTACAGTTTCACTGAATATAGTGCAGCCCACAATCCTCTCAAATACTAGCCATCCTATCTGTATATCAGATTCCAGGTCTGGAGTTATTACTGTAAAAATACACCATTTTGCAGGCCAAAGAAAGGCATACACCATCAGCAGCACAACCATCAAGATAAAGTAATCAAACAGCATAAACTGGAAAGGCAACGAAAATACAAAAGCTCCCTAATTGTTTCAGTATAGCAAATCCCACAGGGTTAGTTCTATCTCTTGTCCTAACAGCAGCATTTAGTTTAATGTTAAGCACATATTCATTTGCCATTAAAAGCAGTGGGAAAGGACTTTATTTCAGTGACACCAAATGGGTTAAAACCTAACCTGATGGAAAAGCGAATTTTAAATTGGCTGTGTGTCTTTCTCTAACAAGAGAAATGCAGGAAGATATTTTAGCCAGCAAATCCATCTCCCCAGCTATTATTCCTTAATTTTACATCTTTACTAAACTGAAAATGTTAGAATTTACCCACTTTTATATTAATTACCATGGGGGTTTTTTCCAGGCATTAAGGCAACTCAGTCAAATAAAATTCCCCAGAAACAGAAAGAACTCTTCCAGCAATCAAATGCAGTGGCCATGAGAAGACTTGGGAGGCTTACGCAAGTGACTCCAGTACCTGCGAAGCATCCTGCGGGAAAACTGCATCAAAGGCAAACATCTTTGGGACAGCAACAACGCCTCTTCTGTGACCTGCATTGGAAGGCCCACTTGCTGCTGGATCATAAAACGTGATTTGCTTTTTTCGTGGGTCTACCTTTAGGAAGGACATGGATTCAGATGTTTCATGTGCTCCTTGAGAGGGACAAATCCTTACCATCACTTTCACCTGCAAGAATTCAGAAGAAAATGACTTGAGTTCCCAGCTACAGATAAATGCATGCAAAGCATTCCTCCCAAGCCCGCTCCCCTTCCCATGACACATTCATTTGTAACATTTAGGTGTGTCAGAATAACCGTGGGATAAAACCAAAGCCAGATTTTCCAGCCTGGTTTCCACCCTGGGGTCTTCACTGAACTAGCTTTTAAAAGGTGCACTTTGTCCCTTCAATTGACTCCATTTTAGTTTTATGATTTCAATTTGCAAATGTCTGGTCTGCAGTGGGTACAATCCACTGTACGTGTAATACCATGCCTAAAGAAAAGGGAACTCTAGCCTTCTACCTTTCAAGTACTCAGTGTGACTGAAAGCACAAACTGATCCACTCTGAAAATCAGTCTGAATTACACAAGGCTCAGACAGCTAGTGCATTCAAACTGAACTAAATCTAGAAAGTTTCAATTCCTTGTTCACATTCTTCTAATAAAAGATGCTTTTCTTATAACTTTCTCAGTAGACTTTATGCTGTCATTGCTAGGCTCTTGGGTGGTTAGTTGCAGATTTAACGGGAAAGAGAGGAAGAAAAAAAAAACCCACATTAAAAAGTCAAAGAGCTTGGAAAAAAAAAAATCACAAAGTACATTTCTATTGCAGCACTGCAAATGCTGATTTCCTACACATGGCATTTTAAGACAGCCTTTTTAAGGAGATCAGGCATATTAGCTGTGCTTTCCAAAGCAGTTTATGGGAACCAAGTGACTGTATCTCATGAAAGTTCAGTAAAGGCTGCACATCTGCTTCTTTTAAGCTTCCTGGAAATCAAAATCTTACTTTGACAAACTGTGAAATACCGCCTCACACCCACTTACAGTCATTTATCCTTATGAAATGCTCCCAGGTCAGAACCAGCATGTTTTATACACCTTGGACTGAAGCAAATGACTATTACAGGTGCAACTTTAACTCTACACTGCCCAGCAGATCAAATATAAGAAAAATGTTCAGACACAATGACATTCCATGGCCAGTATAAAATGTTTCAATGATAAGCTGAACAACAGTATTATCTCCTTGTCCAACTACTTTCACAGTGACAGTGTTAACCATCTAGTTTCACTGGGTGAAGAGCCTGCCAGCTGTAATACACTACAGCCAGCTCAGCTGGAACAATCTACGCTTATACTCTCCACAGCACCCATCAGAAGCTTCATCTTCTGCAGTGCTACTACTGACCAACAAACACCCACTCCTTTTACAGCACTTGGACCTGATTTGGGAGTGACAAATAGCAACCCCTCTGCTGCAAACCTAGCAGGTGTACTCTCCAAACAAAGCAAACAGTCACCAGCTGATGAGTCAGAGCTCAGCACTGTGACACTGCACCTCGAATACTGTGTTCAGTTTTGGACCCCTTGATACAAGAAAGACATTGAGCTACTGGAACATGTCCGAAGAAGGGCAACAAAGCTAGTGAAGGGTCTAGAGCACAAGTCTTGTGGGGATCAGCTGAGGGACCTGGAGCTCTTTATCCTGGAGAAAAGGAGGCTCAGCAGGGACCTTATCACTCTCTACAGCTACCCAAAAGTAGGTTGTAGCAAGGTGGGTGTGCTGGTCTCTTCTCCCAAGCAACAAGCAATAGGATACTGATGGATAGGGGCAGAGTAGTTGACATCTACTACCCAGACTTGTGCAAAGCGTTTGACACTGTCCCACATGACATCCTTGTCTCTAAACTGGAGGAACATAAATTTGATGGATGGACCAGTCAGTGGATAAAGAACTGGCTAGATGGCCGCACGCAAAGAGTTGCGGTCAACTGCTCAATGGCCACCTGGAGACAGGTAATGAGTGGTGCCCCTCAGGGGTCGGTGTCGGAACCGATCCTGGTCAACATCTTTGTCAGTGACATGGACAGCAGGATTGAGTGCGCTCTTAGCAAGTTTGCCAATGACACTAAGTTACGTGGTTCGGTTGACATGCTGGGGGGAAGGGATGCCATCCAGAGGGACCTGGACACGCTTGTGAGGTGGGCTGATGCCAACCTTATGAAGTTTAACCAAGCCAAGTGCAAGGTCCTGCACCTGGGTCAGAACAATCCCAGGCACAGCTACAGGTTACGCAGATGAGTGATTCAGAGCAGCCACGTGGAGAAGGACTTGGGGGTGTTGGTCGACAAGAAACTGAACATGAGCCACTTCAGTGTGCGTTTGCAGCCCAGAAAGCCAACCGTATCCTGGGCTGCATCAAAAGGAGTGTGACCAGCAGGCCGAAGGAGGTGATCCTGCCCCTCTACTCTGCTCTCGTGAAACCTCACTTGGAGTACTGTGTGCAGTTTTGGTGTCCTCAACATAAGAAGGACATGGAGCTGTTGGAGCAAGTCCAGAGGAGGGCCACGAGGATGATAAGAGGGCTGGAGCACCTCCCTTATGAAGACAGGCTGAGAAAGTTGGGGCTGTTCAGCCTAGAGAAGAGAAGGCTATGTGATGACCTCATAACAACCTTCCAATATCTGAAGGGGACCTACAAAGATACAGGAGTGGGACTATTCATCAGGGACTGTAGTGATAGGACAAGAGGTAATGGCTTCAAACTTGAACACAGGGAGTTCAGGTTAGATATAATGAAGAACTTCTTTACAGTGAGGGTGGTGAGGCACTGGAATGGGTTGCCCAAGGAAGCTGTGAATGCTCCCTTCCTGGAGTGTTCAAGGCCACATTGGACAGAGCCTTGGTCTAGGTTGAGGTGTCCCTGCTCATGGCACAGGGACTGGAACTAGATGATTTTAAGGTCCTTTCCAACCCTAACCATTCTATGACTCTATGATAGGAAGAAATGGCCTCAGGCTGTGCGCCAAGGGAGGTTTAGATTGGATATTAGGAAATATTTCTTCACTGCAAGGTTTGTCAAGCTTTTGGAACAGGCTGCCCAGGGAAGTGGTGGAGTCACCATCCCTGGAGGTATTAAAGGATGTGTAAATGTGGTGCTTAGGGACATGGTTTATTGGTGGATGTGGCAGTGCTGGGTTAACAAAGGTCATGTCCAACCTGAACTATTCTATGACTCTATGAGGCAGGACTATCTCTAGCCCTGAGTTGGATATAGCACAGGGAAGCTGGGTTGGAAAACATGCATCTCTGATGAAGAACAATCCTCCCTTTCAGTAATTTTTTGTTGCTAAATTTAACCTCCAATCTGCCAGAACTCTTGACTTCTACTTAATATGTTCCATGAACGTTATGTCATTAAAACAGTCTGCATTTATTACACTGATCCATTCTTTGTGTCTTTACAAAAATAATGTTCTTTGCAGTCAGCACTTCCCCATCGCTCCTGTATCCAGAGAAATAATGGCAAAGTAAAAAAAAATAAAGCTGAAAAACTACTTCAGCAAAGCACAACATGGGAAACTGCAGGCACAAACTGCAGAGCAGGCTGAGCCACCCTGCCCTTTACACCAGACAAGATGAAAAGGTGATGGCATACACGCCTGCACCCAGTGGGGCAGTGAAATGTAGTGCCCAAGCCAGGATGATCCATAGAAAATGGGTGGGCACAGCAGTAAGCACCAGGTTGATCTGTCCCTTTCTTTATCAGCAGGGAAGGGTAGGTAATTTGAAGATTTCATTTAGCTCCTCAACTGTTTCATTTTTCCAGCTCCTCCTTTGAACAACGGCTAAGCTGCACACAAACATCCCTGCGCAATTATTCTAGCATCTTCACAGAAAATAATTTCCACAGAGTGGCTATAAAAGCTTTTCCCCAACATTTTTTCCAAACAAAGAGGTTAAAAAACAACCAGTCCTTCCAGTATATACTACAGGAGGCACCACCAAAGGCAGCAGCAAATTCTTCCACCTTTTGACTCAAGCAGTCCTCCGATTTCACCGCCTTCTTTCCTTTGTCCTTTCAGAGTGATACGAATATGAAAATACAGTCACAGAAAATAAGCAAACCTTAGAATAAATGAAACAGCTGCTTCAAATGAAACAGCTGCTTCAAAAGCAAAGTGCATCAGAGGTGACACACTCAAGGCTGTTTCCCCACAAAAGCTCCATGAAGACAGCTTTGTGTATTAGCCTGCTAGCTCAACCTTGACATGCTACCAAGGTGCTCAGAAAAATAACCTCCCTTGGGGAAAAAAAAATCCAAAACCTAAATATATAAGTACAAACACCCACTTCAGGGTCACTTGATTAAAATGAATTTTAAAATACATGCTGTTTTCAAAGCACTTCTCTAAATAGGCCTTGCTGTTCTGTCTTCCACCTATTATTAGATTATAGCAGCCAGTGCTTGGGTAAGAGGAAAATTGGTTTGCTCCTGACCTAAACAGCAAGTTACCTCCATCAGAGCATTGCTCCCACTACACAAAGTTGGCTTTGCCCCCAGAAAAACCTTGTGTGCCAAATCAGCTTTTTGAGACCATCTCTCTGAAGCAGAAAGATAGTAAAATAGCTTCCCATAACAGATCAGATCCCAAACTTAACAGGCTTCGGGGATCACCTTCATTTTTACAATGGAAGTCAGTTTTCAAGACAAACAGGAGGGAGAAGAAAAAAGCAGCCTGAGGGAGTTCCTCTTTTACTGTTTTCTATATGAAAGCTGATTTGCAAACTAGAAAAACACTGATTTGAAATTTAGTTTCTCTGCCCACTAAATATATCTGTAAGTGATGCCTACCAGAAATTGTAGTGCTATAATGTGTCACACTCATTCATAATGCTGGGCCAGACTCTGACTTCACTTGTAAATGAAGCTGAAAAGCTCGTGAAAGTACCAACAAGCAGAAAGATTACCCAAACATATCCCTTCACAACAGCAAAAACTAAGTGCAGACAGATCGTGGGCGCATGCACATGGTTCTAAGTACGTAAAGAAAGGTTTGGTGTTATACTGTTTATTCTTCTAACACTTCTTCATCTCCTGTGTTTCAGGACCAGTCTTAAGTTCTGAAGCTTAAGCTCTGAAGTGGATCCCAGTATTCTTCTGGGATGAGTACTGCAGAAAAA